TGTTTCTGTTCTTAAGCTTTTTGATTATTTCTTAAGGTACAACTCTAGCACAGCAATACATTAAACATACAATATTTTGATGAAACAAAGTCAATAAAAGCAAATTATTGTTGGTCTGAAAAATATCCTTCGACATTTTTCTTGATGAATGGAAGTTTTTGCAGTTTTCTAACTTTTCGAACTGAATGTTTTGTTTGTTTGTTTTTTTCATTTTATTGACCTAGAAAATACACTTTCTATCTATTTTCAGCAACAAAAGGACAACTGTTGTTGGAAACCCTCACTGTATTCACCTAAGTTAAATCAATGGCTGTGCTGTATCACATTTTCTTTTTAAGATTATAGAAACGTGTCATAAAATTGTCATCAAAAGCAATAGTAATAATAATCACAAAACTTTTCTATCTACATCAACTACCTTTTCTGGGTGGCTGATTTGTACCATTTTTAAGCTGCAGTCAGGGGCAACACAAAATTATTATTTATGGTAGACTGCACTTAGAACATCTCTGGTTTAGATCAAGCACATATTTATGTTTGCTGTCGTTACTGCAACAAAAAGTAAAATCAGTCAAACTAATTTAAAAAAAAAAAAACTACAAGCCATGCATTTCGTTTTATTTTTTGTATATATAAAAAATTAGATCTACATAAATTATGAATGTTCTTTTCACTTTGCATTAATGTAAATCACAAATGATTGCAACAAAAAAATTTGAAAACAAGGGTATGAATACTTTGCAAGACGCTGTGTGCATCTATTTCTGCTGCCCTGCTCCCTCAAATACATTATTTTTCTGAGCACAAGGGTTCTATAAAAATTATAAAACTAAACAGGAGATTTCACAAAAAGAAATAAAAATCAGTATTCCAAGAATAAAATTTCCTGTTCCAGGGGAACTTTCAAATAAAACTAATACAAAATTGTGAGTCAACAGTCCTGTTTGACAACACAAGCTTCTGCTTACTCGAGTGCTTAGAGCATTTATGATAATCTACGATAATCTACTCTGCACTGACACACCACACATTATCTGTTTGAATGCTAAGTACAGCTCATTCTGAACTTTAAAAAATGCAAACGTATTCTGAGAGCTCAAAACAGCTCCAGTGGAACATGTTATCCTGTGTCTGGTCCAATACACACACCTCACACTCAAAACAAAAAAAAAAAAAAAGAAAGAAAGAAAAGTGGATAAATAGCTTCTTCAGCTGCACTTCTACCTCATATGTAAAGACAAGGAGTCTGTATGGTAAAACTGGCAAGTGCAGCAACATTTTAAATTATGTTCCCCTTTCACATCAACAAGAAAGCCTGTGCAACCGTGAACTTAGGAGTCTCTTTTGTCCAAAGCTTTTTGGAATGGTATTATAGCTGCAACAATAACCTCCTGTGGTAATTTAATGCTCCCATTGAGGTAACGCACTTTATTGCACCAGTGGATTAAGTAATGATTATTTTGTGAAATTGCAGCTACACAATGGTCAATTAATCTTTAATGAAACTGTAACTTATGAGGCGGAGCATGGCATTCTAGTAAGTAGGGAAATGCTTGCCAAAGCAGTTACAAGCCTCAGTTGTGGCCTACACTCCCTATCTGTCACTACGTAAAAAAAAAAGGAAGAAGAAAAAGCACACATGAAAGACATATAATGAAAAGGCAAAGTCACCGTTCGTTTTTAGCATTCATAGAATGTTTGTGAGCCTATATCCATCAAAATATGAGAAATGAAATCTATCAGCTTATATGCAATATGATTATGTGCCGTTTTGCAGCGCTATTTATTTAGACCAAGCTAGGCATCTGTATTGAAGAGAATTATTTGCACTGACAGAGCATGAAGTTGGAGATTATCAAATAGCAGCAAAGCTGCTGCAATATGTACCTTTCATTTCATCATCTCCCCTTAAATGATGGTAAGTGTTACACCTGTACTCCAGTATCTGGTGTTTCCCCCAACACATGCCTGACTCATAATCCAATAAACTAGCTTTATGGTTCAATCATTTTCAATTTTGTCACATGTTATTGTCCTAACCTAGAAAGGCTTGCTAAGTCACAAGATAAATGTTTTTGTATCTGATTGGTTTCTCTCTTTATTTGTAGCCTGCAGGCTCCCATATTTTTGCTCATTTTGACAATCCTCTAACGAATGTTGATAGATTTACTTTTATTACGTGACATCATTTCTGCATAGTAGCAGACAGGGCAACACAGGGCATGAATTTTCTGATATCTGAATGCACACTCAGCAGGAGACAATGTAGGGGAGAGCAGAAGAGGTGAAGAAACAAGAATGACGAGAGTGATTGATGGAGTGAATAGGAGCCAAAGGATGATGGGGGGAGTCAGGGGGCACATGGATGTGTGTGGTAGGAGTAGCAGTGAGTATAATGAAGTAAGACAGTAGAAGATGTGTACAAAGACAGAGTGAGAAGCAAAGAGAGACGCAAAGGAAGAGAATGGTTAGAAACACAGAGAGCAAAGGAGAGTGAAATACAAGAGATTTCAAGACCAATGGAGTTGAGCTGAATATCAGACTCTCAAATGATTTCTTCTTCAATTCTTCAGCACTAATGCAACAATATAAAAAATATTGGGGGAAGTCAGATGGCACATGGATGTGTGTGGTAGGGGTAGCACATGTGTGTGTGTTGGTATGTGCATGTGATGGAAGAGCTGGGGTATATAGTGTAGTTATACAGATAAGGAAATGGGGGAAGGGTCTCGTGGTGGGAGTGATTGTGGCGTTGGGGGAGCACTGAGGCAATTGGTGTTATTGTGCAGGCGGCCGCTGGCACCAGCACTGTCAGGGAGCAGCGTTGATCCGTGAACTTGCCATCTGGATTTTCCCACAAATCACATTAAAGTTTCAAGCCCAGGAATACATCAAGCTAAATGAATATTGGATCCAGACAAGCCTGATGGAGAAAAAGCCCTGGGCAACCAAACTCTTTTGTGGTCAGACATGATCTATCCATCCTCTTTACTTGCTCCATTCCTGCTTCCTTCTGTTCCCTTCATCACTGACGGGAAGGACTTCTGATGAGGTGTGGGGAATAGAAGAGATTATGCAAAAAAGAGGTATACATTGTAGACTTTTAGTGCAAAGCAGAGGGGCTGTGTTTGAATAGATGCAAGTGGAAGAATTCCTTTGAGTAGTCTCTGATTTGATCTTCTAAACAGATTTAAATAAAGACTATCTAAACTCAGAGCTTTGAGAATAAATACAAAACATTTATTTTTTTTCCATGAACAACCAAAACACACTATGTGTTACTTTTCTTCAGAGGCTGTCATCATGATGATGACTATTGAAGTGTTCTGTTTCAGATCCAAACCATTAAGGCTTTCATCTGTTTCTGAATTACCCACAGTAATGTTCAGCGTTTGTTTGTGGGTGAAAATAAGGAGGATTAATTGCTGCATGCAAATGCATAATGAGATACCATTTGACTCTTTGACAACACCCTGAAAATGATTCATGTGTACAATATGAAATTATATGCTTACTTTTCCTTTCATTTTAGCCACATTAAGTTGACTTTGCATAAGTGGATTCCGCCTTTCACCCGAAGGTGAAAATAAAATGTGAGCAGGAGGAATAATGTAATTATTCATCATTCAATAACATGTTGTATCCTAGTTCCTGGTTGCATATGTTTTGTACTGAAGCACAGTTTGTCTTCAAGGAAAAGCTATTAAGAAAATACGGTCTCGCCAAGATGTTGTTTCATATGAGAAGGAAAAATCTATTTAGTTCTTTTCCAATCCACTGGCTTGTAGAGTAAGGGATTTATTTTTCCCAGTCTGAACTGAAGTGGAAGCCTGAACTGTAAGATGTCCGAGCTTTAATTCAGTGAGATCCCCAAAGGTATATGGATTGGCTGGGAGTCCAAGAATTATTAAAAGTTTGTCATCGATACTGAAGAATGAATAGCTTGAACTGTGAAACTTTAAATGAACCTTTAAATCACAAATGAGACTATTACAAAAATATCAGCTAAATATGTCAAAGCCAGCATCAGGCTTTCCCATTCCTTGTTACATTATATGTCATTCCCCATAAACAGCTCAAAGGAAATAAATGAATTGTTTGCTTACTTCAGGAAAAATAAAATAGTCGACCTCTTAAAACATAGACATGAAAGGAGGGATGGCAAGTACAGGAGTTGTCCCAGGTCTGGTGAAATCAGAACTGCAACCGTCAAATTATGTTTAAGATTATTGATTTCAAAACAGGCCAGTTTGTGGAGAAAAACAAAATCCCAATATTTAAATTGCATGAAAGTTTCTTTTTTATAATACTTCAATAAAACTGAAAATGTATGTTCTATATAAAGAATGTGGTTGTTCCATATTCAACTTGTGTAGTTCTGCATGCTGAAAGTGCTTTATAGGTCTAAACATGTTTACATAAACCGAATTTAGGGAAGGATTTTATGCAGTGATGCCTTTCTTTTGATTCAGCCTAATTTTTTTATGGTACCTATGTTGGTACCTATGTTACACCATATAAAAATTACACCAATTTTTATATGGTGTAAAATTTTCTATATCCTTCTTCGGGATGGGGTACATTACTTTTCTGTCATACCCCCATTTCAATTCATTTTAGTTCCTATTTCATGATGACTGCTGTTATAACTTCTGAAAGACCCTTGTGGTTCAGTTGGGTATTTAGAGTTAACATAAAACACAGATTACTCTTACTGGTCACAAGAAAACCTGGTAAATATTAACATGATGTTAGGATATTATTTAAAATTAAAATGCTTTTTTCTGATTTATAATTTTTTTTTACAATTACAACAAAATACTAACATACAATTTCACATTTTCCTTTTTTTTTTTTGTTTCTTTGACTGCATTACATGAAGAAAGTTCAACAAAGATTATTGTTTTCAGAATCATGTATCTATTATATTGTTTAAAAAAAAGACAAATGAATGTTATCCCATTTTTTAAGCAAAACTTCACTTTTTTTTTCCATTTCAGGCCTTCAGGTCATATTCCCAGAATACCTGCAGGAGAAATTTGTCCAGTCAGCTCTGAGCTACATCATGTGCAACGGAGAGGGTGAATATGTGTGCCACAACAACCGGTGCATCTGTCAGTGTGCTCATGACTATCCCCAGTGCAACTGTCCCATCACTGACATCCAGATCATGGAGAACACCCTGCTGGTGATGTCTGAGTCCTGGGCAGCCTCTTATAAAGATTTTGAAAACTCTGGTAAGCTGAAAATTTCTACAAAATAGTTTAACCTGGCTCCCCTCTGTGACTATCAAAAGACTTGAAATCTGTTTGTTATTCCTTTTACAGACATTTGTATTTATTTTTTTTTTTTTTTGTGAGTTTTTTTTTAAAGTATGAAAAAACCAATGCACATAAAATGAAAAAGATGCAGAAAGATTCATCCAGTAGAGGCTCCTCTTTTTAACAAAAAGTGATGGAAATACATGTCAAATTTGGACATTGTGGAAAGAATGTAGATATTAGCTTTTAGAGTACAGCTGCTCCATGGCAGCACATACGTCTCACTCTGTTTGATTAATAAGTTAAATATCTATGTGAATTGATGGGATTCCTAGTGTAATCTCCTTGAGACACATATGCATATATGTCAATGTTCAACAAAGTGAAATGAATGAGGATAGCAAAGATAAAAGGTGTAGAATTTTAGAAATTAATTGACATTGCATTGTAGCAACATTTATTACATTTCTGCAAATCAATAGTCAGTTGTTTCAACACTGCCTCCATATGGATATGTTCTTTAGGTTCAGAAAAAAGATGATCTCACACTGGACATGACACATCCATAGCTGGGTAATCCTATCAAAAGGCAAGAGCTTTGACTGTGTAAATTCCCTGGCTTGTGAGGACAGCTGCGGCTGCTGCTCCGGCTAACTGTGTGGTCTGAGGCTCACTAATATTCTGGCAGCTACTTGAGATAAAGATGGTGTAATATTATTTTGTGGTATATGAAAGTATTTATTGGGCTTTGGCAGCTAATCTTTTTTTTTTTTTTTTTTTTTAATCAAACAGTAAATAGCATTGACAACAATATTCACATTTCTGTTTAGGCTTTAAATGTCTCAATGATTTTAGAAGGGAATTATTAGATATGACAGACTTCCCACCATTGCTTCACGGGAGTAGCCCAGTTTCTCCAGTGACAACACGTTCATTGTGCATACTGTGCCAGTTCACAGTGCATGCCAAATTGCTGCATGCTGTTAGTATTAGTTGAATTGTCTCCCCCATTATTACAAAAAGACAAACACTGCACTCACGATGACACGTTGCGTTACAGTTATCACAGTAATCACAGCTAAGGTCTGTCTCAGTTTGTGAGATGCTCATGAGAAGAGCGATGAAACTAGTTAACTACTGCAAAGCATGCAACAAATAGATGGATAGACAGGCCTACAATCTTTTGACCAAAGGGAATTGTAGAAAGCACTAAGAGGTTTGAAACAATTTAATTTTTTTGGCATCTTCTAAAATTTTCAGGGTGATATTTTTCTACTCCAATATGAGCTTTTTTGAAGGCTTTATCTGCACCTTTGCCAAAGGTGCCAGCAAACTGGTGGTTGCCACTATAAAGTGGCATCTGGCTGGTTAAAAAACTTTCAGTTCAAATATTTGTACCTGATGTGAGCAAACAAATTGATATAAAATGAGGGAAAAGTTAAATTATGAGTTCTAATCTTTCGACAAGGTGTGCTGGGTGGGTTCAGATAAGAACCACCATGTGGACTGTTTGGTTGCTCTGGAAAAGGAAATGATACTTGAAGTCTTTGAAGCTTGTATAAAAGGGTTTGCATATCTGCCACTGGGGCACAATATGATAATGTAGCTTCTTTTTTTCATGTTGACAGAGTTCTGAATGCTAGGTGTTGGTGTTGCTCAGATTTGTTCAGGAAAGAATTAAAGAAGGTTTATGTCATCTCTGAAAGCTGGGTGGAGGTTTGTGGCAAGTTCAAAACAGGAGGAGGAGATGGATCCTGGCTCCTTTGAAGCAAAAGGGAAATCTGAGTTCTGACATGCCAGGAAGGAGGGTGGAGGAATTTCTGACATTTCACAGCTGTGACTGAAAAAGAGCTCTTAACTCTGGTTAATACTGTTGACATGTCTTGAGGACAGGTCTAGGAGAGTACCAGCATGTTTTGCAGGTGCATTTCTTGAAAATGTGGATCTATGTTCTGAGTGTGCCAAAGCTTGTTGTGGTTTGCATTTGTCCCAATCTGTGTACTTATTCATTCTCTATGTTTTTACATCACCTTACCTGTAAAAGTCTAATGATATGAGATTTCTGGTGTTTTGTCTCTTCTTTAAATGAGTCATTAAATCTTGGTGACATTGTTGAGTTAATATTTAACATTTTGCTATTTTAACTTGAGGTTTTAGTATTCAAGATTAAATTTATTTAGAAAATATTATGTTTGAAAAACACACTTAATTTTAACATATCAGATTCAGGATTAGAACATTTCTTATTATTGTATTTAGCAAACATCTTCAGCCTAATTTTGATGAGGCATCATATTAATTATTTATTTCCATTTAGTCATGATTAAAACCCTTTATTTCATATTAAATCTTTGCTGAATCATTTAATATTAGTATATCAAAATCTGAACAGCACTAAAACAATGTAGTTGTATTTAATGAAATTTTAAGAAACATCTGAAATCAATTGTTGCTAAGAAATTAACAGAACAAAAACAATGGTCTCAAGAGGAAACAAGAACATTTTATCCTAGGCTGTATGATGACCACTTGGACAATCACTAAGACTGGCTGAAAAAATGTGGGGGCAGTAATCTTGGTACCCAAGAGCTGAGAGGAGAGGATAATTCCTACTTCCAGTTTTCTGCACTTGAACAACAGAATCAGCCTTAAATTTTCAAACCAGAAATTCAGAAGAAAACATCACTGACAACTTTTAAAGAATAGGAAAACAATGATCTTCACATGTGGATTGTATTTTTACTACTTTTATATCGGGAAAAATAACTCAGACTCGCATTTCTCCTTTAATTAATTTTTAAAATGCATTTATACCAACAAATTATACTCATGAGGTTACCAAGTCTTTATAACAACAATTGAATACTGTCTTTATACCATGCAATATGCAAAAAAAAAAAAAAAAAGAATTGTAGTATGCCCTACCATCACAAACAGATATGTGGAGTTCTTTTTCAACTCTGCTTGGATTGAGTGCTTTGGTCAGGTGAGACTATGATTGAGATTTCCACTTAAAGTGGGTTTCATATGAAACAAAGAATGACCATCTGAAAACAAAACAGCTTATCCCACTATTAAGTTTGATGAAGCTGTGGCCATGTTTCTCGTCTATGGGGGGAATACATGTCATCAATAAATACTAGGACATATCGAATAATAATCTGGTGAACTCTACCAGTAAGATAAAAAAGGTTTGAGGTGTAAAAATAAAAAAATAAAAAAATTCTAGATCAACAATAAAATCAATAAATTCTTCCTATGTCATGTCAGTCCCTAAACCTTAATAGAATAAAAAAAAAGTGCAAAAGAGAGGACTCAGAAATCTAGCCTATTTATAAGAGACAGTGGAATTAGGAATAGCCATCATTAAATGTTTTGTGTCAGTAAATTTGTCTTCATCTGGCTACAAAGTACTTATGTTTAATTTCAGTCTTTATCCTGTGTTATATTTTGTTTTGTCCCATCTTGTCCCTCCACTGTTCTCTAGATGAGTTCAAGTCATTCCTGAAGAGACTCCCGTCCACTCATTTTTTGCCCATCAGCAGTGTGCATCTATTGTGGGGCAGCGACTGGGACCTGCAGGCCCGTTACAGACTCCTTCAGAGTTCCCTAGAGATCCAGCGGCTCAAAATCCAGCGTACCGCCCGCAAGTTATTCAGCCTCAGCATCCGTTGTCTTCACAATCCCAGCCACCAAATGCCAAGAGAGAGGTGAGTAAAAATAATATCCATGGGGATTTACTAGACCAAAGATTTCATATAATAGTCTTCATATTATAAGTATTTTTTTAAGAAAATATCACTGGAGATACTTTTTTGTATCTCAATATAGCATGGAAATCAAACATGCAATTTCTGATATTTTTTTTTCTTCAGGGTTGTGCTTTTACTTTATATCAAATCTATTTAATGCTGAGACTTGCACATGCACAAACGCTGTAGCTTACTCTTGTTATTTCACTTAGCAGTCTTAAAAGAAAATGTAGCTGTGGGAGTTTTCTTGTTAGGTCATTGCACACATCTGCCACCACATACTGCAGTTGCAACTTAAGAGCCTTGTTGCTGATGTGCTACAGTGTCAACGCTGCAGGAACTGCCAGGAATTTCCCCAATCTGCTCTCACAAATCAAAAAACACAACGCAAAAAAACACAAAATGGGGAGTGCCAGATGAAATGCCAGCAAAAACTGTCCAGCATTAGTTATGTCACCATAAAAATGGGAAAAGAATATGTAAAATATTGATTTAAGTGGCGTGAAAATCAGCCATTGTCTTCAGTCCCTGACAGAAAGGATCACACCCACATTTGTGTGAGAGTTGGCATGGGGTCTGTTCTGAAGTGTTATCAAAGAACTGCAGTATGTGCTTCCTCTTCCATGGAGTAAACATTGAGAGTGCCTGATGGCACAGGAAATAAGAGCAGCTTGTTTATTTGTTTGCCTGTGTGAAACAGCTTTGCATCAGATGGTGGATTTATTTGATTCCATCATGTATATTTAAGGTTTCGTATATGTTCTACAGGGGAGTTGGTGTTGTTGTGCACAATGCAATTTCCCCTCAAACTCAAACTCCCCATGTTCATTTCTGAACAAAGGTATTTGAACTTTTATGACTGTTTCAAAAATGCAGTGCTAGAAAGCTGTGTAAAGGCTTTTTCTACTATTTGAGTTTAGCTTGGCAGTCATGCCATAAATCTTTTAAAATCAGCTCTCATCTTTACCCTTCTCTCTTACTGAAATAAAGTGCTCTTCTATTGCCAATGAAGGCTCTAAGTGTCCTTACCTCTGCAGCCTGTAACAGGTAGTTGTGAGCTAAACTTATTCAGTACATATCAGCCCACTCTAAGGGGTATATTTACCCCTTAGACTTTTGTTTTATATTTTCATGTTGAAACCATAAATTTTAGTCAATCTTTTTGTGGAAGAGCAACACAAAGCAGCAAATAAATGTGACCTGATAAAATAATGACAAAGTATGTGTGGAGGAGGAACTAAGCTCCAAAGCTCAGGTGAGGGAGCCCGTTAACAAGACAAATATTATTCCTATACAATAGGAGAGTGGCACGTATTATTGTTGGAAGAAATCCTTAGGATTCTTTAGGAATGTTCTTGTGCATCAGTGATGCAAGATGATCAGAGTTGAAGAGAAGATGGATGGAGCTAAAGGAACAGCAGTCCCAAAGAAAATCACAATGAAGTTGCAAAAGACTTAAAACCAGAGACACACACAAAAACCTGAAGGCCACTGTTGGAGCCAATTAAGTATTTAACAAATTACTTACTTGCTAAATTATGTTATTATTGATCCACAATTATGTTAATGATTACAGATGTTAGATAAGCTATTTATTTATTTTTTGCTTAGGGCCTCTTCCTAGTCAGGTCAACCTCCTGCTGTGATTAAGAAAAAAAAGACAGTTGCTGTGCTTGGTGTGATTGTTATGCAGTGATGGAGTGAGGACTGAAACAATTTTTGTATCACAAAACAATGTTTACATTTGAATTTTGTATGAACCTGGAGAATATTTGGAGAATATTTCTGTTGCTATTATAAGTTGAACCAGAGACCTCTCTGAAAGTGCTTTTTATTTTTAGTGTCGAGAGCCTCCTCCTCAGAAACTGCTCTAACATTCATTTTTTTGGAGGTAATTATGAGTAGCCATGGCAGACTCTCAAAAAGGAATAGATCTTTTCTCCATCAATGAACATAATAGAGACAGATGACAGTTGAAAAATGCAAAAAAAAAAACACAACTCTGTAAACATGTCTTGTGTCCTGAAGTTTTTGTACATAAGGGTAATCATTACAATTGAAGGAAAAATGGAAAAACTTACAGTCCTCAGAACACCATCTTAATGTGAAGCATAGAAGGTGGCAGGATCATAAAATATCAACAGCTAGAACGTTTTCTTAGCTATTGCCATTACAAAGCCCAAATCTCAGTCTCGTTCAGCCTGCCTTAGTTGTTACTGTTCTGCCAGGAGACATGCCAAAAATTTCAGCAAACTATTGTGGGAACACACAAATACCAAGAAAATGAATGTGAACCTCTAACATTGAAGAACATGATCAAAATAAAATAAAAAACACATTAGCTACATACCTCGGCAAAGCCCTGCAATATCAGGTCATTTGAACTCTTCCAATTTTTACATCTAACCTTTAATAAAGACAGCAATGAAATCAGTGACATACTACAAATTAAAACTTCACTTGAATATGTACTGTGATGTTATGTTAATTGAGGATTTGAAATATTATGCATTCCTATGGTAAGAGACTTTCCAACCTTTAAATAAAGGCACTTCAGAAAGGCCTTTGATTACATGTTGCATCACCAACAAGACAGTCTGGAATGATATCTGTCAAATAAACAAGTTAGGAATAATGGGCGTCCTCATGGGAACCATGTAAAATTGACAGTTATACATTTGAACTCACTTGCATTCCTATTAACATCTACAACATTTCCACTGTACATATTGAAATTTTAAAAAATGCACATGATAATACACTTAAACCCACCAAAGGGCTCATGACGTGATTCTACTGAGATAAGAAGAGAATGTCAATGTCATTGTCTTGGTGGCAAATATAAGTATGTCATATCCAAAAGACATAAGAACCCATTGCTTTTTAGGCGGTCTTGGGTTGCAATGTTCTGCAGAAGAAAATTAGATGAGAAAACAGAAAAGTAAAAGCTGCTGTTATGCTGTGTTGCCTAGGGAACATACTTAATGGTGTTTCAGTGTTTAGGGCATTGTATATTAAGTAAATAAACAGCATATTCATACCTTAGTTAAAAATAGAAGCTCTGCAATATGTAGTCGGGCTTAATGAAACTTCAAAGAAGCAGGTTTTATTTAATATTCTTGCACAGACATGTATTCTTACTAATGGGCCAAAAGATCACTCGGGTCCCTCGCAGCTTTTAGTTTAATTACAAAATGGATTCATGATAATAAAAGAGGAACTTCATTGTTGTATTTATTTCAAAGCAAACTAATCCAAAATTACAGCTTAGAATTTTGACTATTTGCTATCCCATTTTAAGAAAGTTACAGCCAGTAAGTAAATATATTTCACTTGACATAAGGAAGCCAGTGTATTTTTAGTAGCTATAATTGAAGCTACACAAAGAAAGTTTACATTTCTCTGGTCTATGTTTCCATTCATTACAACCATCATAAATTCTTTTTGTGATAACTCACAGTGGAACCTCTAAATAGATTTACTAGTGCATTTTCTTTATTAGTAGCTTGCTTCAGGTACAATGAACTTAGGAGTCTTCATTTAAATGATTAATAGTGACAGATATGGAGTTGCATCATTTCGAGCCAAGTCATTTGCATCCAGTTTATATGCTTGGTTTAATTATTCATGTCCAGGGTAAAACCCGTTTTAATACCGCAGCCTCCATACAACAAAAGAGTCATAAATTGTACTTAACTTGGCATATGTCATAAGTCCTTTGTAGGTATTAGGTTTTCAGTAAACATATCTTAAATCATTTGTATTTTTCAATTAAATGAATGTAAGAAAGCTTCTCTTATTATCACTGTAGAGCCATTCATCATTTTGTTTTCATGCCCACTTATTCATGACAATATTTTGGGGAAAAATTAGAAAAGTCCCATTCTCTTTGATGAGAGGTATCAAACAAATGAATGATCTCTGGGTGCTTTATTTTTGGTATGTCACAGGACTCATTGAAAATGCTTCTAGTCAAAGAAAAGCATTTCGAGAAATGCCAATCATAGGAAAAAGCATTTTTATGTCTAGAAATGCTAGTCGTCATACTGAACACTCATAGAGCCATATTCAGCCAATTGATCTTCAACCAATCGGATTCATACACTCATTTGAAGATCAGTAGGCAACCCCAAGTTTACTTCCTATCTGCCAAGGGGCACATCGACATGTGGCAGAATGAATCAAACCCCCAGCTTTGAGATTAAGATGACAGTGCTAAGACACTCCTCCAGGCTCTGATTGGTTGTTTCTGACTGAGCGGTGTATTTTTTGCAGATGGCTGGAGGAGGCAGAGGAACTTGATTTTTTTCACAGATCATTTGTCTCATATTATGTATCAGCAAATAGTGACAGTTGTAATAAATATGTAAACTCTGTGTTCATAAAAGTCACATTCTGCAGCTCTAAACTCTCTTCTTGAAGTTCTTGGTGATTCAATAATTGTTTAATTTGACCTGTGAAGTCCCTATTAAAGCAAGCCGATGCTGTTAGCATGTGTGAAAGTCAGCCACAATTAAGACAAGAAGGATGATGTCAAGCACCATTCCCTTTTAAAGCAAGCATTCTGTTCTAATCCAATCAGAATGACAGATTTATAACAGCTGCCATGTCCTCATTAACACTTTTTCTGCGCTCATAGATATAATTATAGTATTTCTGTTTGTCATAGGGCCAAAAGGGATAGCAAAGATGTTTTTTGTTTTTTTTATTGCGTTTCTTTTTCATCAGATCACTTTTAACTCCTTATAACAACTTAGAATCAGTAAAAATGTCTACTACAAAAACTGTCACCGAAAGGTTTGTGTCAAACAAGAAATCTTTCCTTTAAGTCTAACAGTTTTTGCTTAAACCATGAGTTTTTTTTATTATTTGTTTGCTGAGACACTGACCAATAACAATCATTTTTGCAAATCTATATGTAATAAAGGTAATAAAATAATACACGGCATTAATATCATAAAGTAATTGGCCGAAAGATGATATAATAACCATTAGTTGGGTTATTATAATAATTGTGTGACATAAAAATAATATAATAACTACATTTCCCAAAGATTAAATTACTGTCCTGGGTTATATCCACAAAACCCCAATGTTTAAAATATATATTTTGTTGAATATCTTCCTTTGTCGTCACTCACAATACCCTTCGTGAATTAACAGGAAGATTATGATACCTATATTTCATTAGCAAAATCCATAAAATAAAAAATAAAAAAATAGGAATCTTTTATTTCCAAGTTATGTAGTCCTGTTTCTGTGTAATGCCATTTTTGGTGATGGTTTAATAATTGTATTTCTATGTCAGTAATATGTTTACTAGTGAAAAATGTATTACCATATAACATGATGGATAAAATATGACTTTCTTATTGCCACTTTATAATTTCTCTGATGCATTGTTGTTTAATTAGCTTTGTTACTATTAAAAGGGCAAAAATAATTATTCCCTTGGCATATGTTACATTATCAGCCACTATTACATTATTGGCTGCTATGCACCCTGCAACATTTTCATGCTTTATTGTATCTTAAATAGTAAGTACATTTTAGCTGAGTGTGAGTATAAATATTATTGACATAATAGTCCATGGTGTGTGATTTGTACACTTAAATATAGGCTTAATCAAATGTAGAACTTGGCAAAGAACAGAACATTTATAAGTTGAAATTTTATTGACAGATGAAAAAGCTGTAAGATAAAGTTGCCAAAAGCTTTCAATGCCTTTAGAAAACCGGATAAACCATACAGAGAAACACAACCAAAAGGACAAAACTGATTAAACATTGAATTGCATCTCTGATTTCTGATCCTTTGTGAAGGAAATGTCAGTAAACAAAGATGAGCTAACAGAGCTAGCCACTGATACAGCACAGACACCAAAAAGCTAATAAAAAATTATCCCAAATTAAATTAAAATTTCTTTAAAAAAAACCTAACTGGAAATCAATATTTTTTTCCAGTGTTTGCACTCAAATCTAAATAGATCATGCCAACATCAAGAATATGGTGGCATTGCTGGGGATCAATAGTTAATTTGTCTTTGAATTTCACTAAGTTTCTTTTTTGATAAAAAAAAAAAAAAACAACCATTGCTGTCAATATATTTCACTTGACAAAACATGTTCAATAAATTAAAGCATATTTTCAACACTTTAAAAAAATGCATTTTTAAAACTGTGCAACATCTATAAAGTGTTTTCTGATTGCTTTGAAGAAAGCGTGATACCTAACACTTGTCCAATTCTCAGTCTGCAATAAGAAAATAAGAACCAGAGAACGGATTTTCATTTGCCTTTCAGTGTGATCAAAAAACAGCAAAAAGCAATATGTGGTTCTGTGTATTTTTAAATGAAACTACATTTTTTACTTGCCCTGCTCAGAATGCAGTATCAAACGTCAGAGTTATTATGCAAAACTTCAATAATATATAAACTAACCTTCACTTGCCAGCTTCTCTGAAAAAGTCACCTCCTCTAGAAGTTACAGCACCCTCAAGGCTAGATGCCTTGAGGGAAAGAATACACTAGATAAGAATAGCAATTAATGCTTCCTATCATAATGCAATTCTTTTCCCTTGAGGGACATCATATTTTTTTTCTTCAAAACTTTATGCTGAGTGTTATATATAGAGCAAAACATTTCACAAAAACAAAACTAAACAACAACCAAAAAAGAAACGTATATCTGACCTAATCAAAATTCTACTCGATGTTCATGGTTTTGTTCTTTTTTCTTTCTATCACTCCAGATCTGTGATGCAGTGGCTCAACAGGGTTCAGTCCTTCCTGTACTGCAATGAGAATGGGTTCTGGGGGACCTTCCTGGAGAGCCAAAAGGCATGTGTGTGCCATACAGGTGCAACTCTGTGTCAGCGACCCATCCCGTGTGTCATAGGCGGCAACAACAGCTGTGCCATGTGTAGCCTGGCCAACATTTCACAATGTGGCTCCTGCAACAAAGGCTACAAGTTGTACCGTGGCCGCTGTGAGCCGCAGAATGTGGACTCAGAACGCAGCGAGCAGTTCATCAGTTTTGAAACTGATCTGGACTTTCAGGACCTGGAGCTGAAATACTTGCTGCAGAAAATGGATTCACGGTTGTACATACACACCACGTTCATCAGCAACGAGATCCGACTGGAGACATTCTTCGACCCACGATGGCGCAAGCGTATGTCCCTGACTCTGAAAAGTAACAAAAATCGGATGGACTACCTCCACATGATCATCGGTTTGTCAATGAAAATCTGTCAGATGCGAAACAGCAGCATTGATCCTATGTTCTTTGTTTATGTTAACCCATTCAGTGGCAGCCACTCAGAAGGCTGGAGCATGCCCTTTGGTGAACATGGTTACCCACGATGGGAAAAAGTTCGACTGCAGAACTCGCAGTGCTTCAACTGGACTCTCCTGCTGGGTAACAGGTGGAAGACCTTCTTTGAGACTGTTCACATTTACCTGCGCAGCCGTGCTAAGGTTCCAACTGGCCTCCGTAATGACACGGGACAGGGTCCAGTGGATCTCGCAGACCCCAACAAGCGGCAGATCTACATAAAGATCTCAGATATCCAGGTGTTTGGTTACAGCCTGCGCTTTAACGCTGACCTGCTGCGTAGCGCCGTGCAGCAGGTCAACCAGTCGTATACACAAGGAACTCAGTTCTACTCGTCCTCATCTGTGATGCTACTGCTGCTGGACATTAGGGATCGGATTAACCGCTTAGCCCCCCCTTCTGCACCTGGCAAGCCACAGCTGGATCTTTTCTCTTGTATGCTGAAGCATAGGCTGAAGCTCAACAACAGCGAGATGATTCGAGTGAACCATGCCTTGGACATGTACAGCACAGAAATACTCAAACAATCAGACCACCTGACTGCAAAACTTTGTTGAGTAAAACATTAATGTTAAGGACGGTAAGCAACAGAGAAACACCCAACTAATTAACTATGAGGGGATGATAGTCTTATTTTTTTTTCCCTTTTCTTTTTTGACCTTTTCTGCCTTTTGATGTAATATTAACTTTGTAAGTATAATTCTTAAAAAAGAGAAAGAGGCAGTGATGACAAGCTTTTCTGGCAGATTGAAAAAAAAAAAAAAGAGAAATGGAAATAGTGTATGGACTGTATCATACTTGTCCCAGCATGTCTGTAATTCCCTTAAAGAACCTTAAAAAGAGAAAGTGAAAAAAAGAGTATATCTGTGTAATGGATGAAAAGGAGGCCTTGATTATAACATAAGGGATCAAAGGTTGCATCTGATACTGCCATTCTTTTTTGAGAAAAAAAAGATGACATTTTTAAAGGTACAGAAAATACAATGGCAGACCAGATAAGTTTATTTCACCTACTGGGCAAAGTATTTCAAACATAACAGACAGTTTAGTATTAAAATGTTTATACATTGTAAGGAACTTAAAGCTCTAGTGAGTAAGTAGTCATCACATTTCTTACGTTTCAGAGCCCACAGTGAATCTGCATTGCTTTTTGAAAGGTATTTAACACTGTCATTGTTCTGATACATGAGGCACACAGCAGGGCAGTAATGGATAGTCATGTTGAAAACAAAAGCCAGCTGTTTATATATACATATGTGTGGGTGAATGTATGCGAGTGTGTCTGTTAACCTTTTTTTTTTTTTTTTTTTTTTTTGGCTTAATGCTTAACGCTGTTTGTTAATCGAATGTTTCACTTGAGACTGACCCAAGTCTCTGCTGAATCTTGCATTTTGAACGCTTTTCTCCCCCACCGTGTATGAAATTCCAGCTGTGTGTTTTTTTTTTTTTTTTTCTTCTTTTCACAAGGCAGTATACCTCCTGGTGCGTGAATGCAATATTGTGGTCTGAAGATTATAACAATCAATGCTATTTTGTACAGCTTTGCAAAATGTACATGTTGTGACTGCTGATCTGTGGAGCTTTTCAGCACTGAGAGCAAAATGTAAACATTCATCATTCAGCCACATTTGCAAGACAACCTAAAGCCATACACTTCCCTGAGGTAGATATACAGTAAGTCATGAAGTTCACCCTGTACCTGTTCCATTCATATGTCTTTGTTCAACTCTCTCAGAAGATTTCACACAAGAGCACAGCAAAAAGGAATATGACAAGTGGAGACATAACATGTTGAGTGAAATTGTGTCGTTAAAGCCATTGAACTTGTATTTTGTGCTGCAGGAAAAAGAAGAAAATCTTATATTAAAGCTTATAATACCTTTTGAAAGTGTTACTCTGTAAGCTTTTTATGACCACATGTACAAATTTCTCATTTTGTTTTGAGTTAAGAAGTTTGACATTTTCTGCATGTTGCCGGAGGTATAAAAAGAACTGCAACTGTGTTCAACACACTCAGTCTTAAACATAAAACACTACCTATGTATTTGATGGTCACATTTTATTTTGGTAATCCAATACTGAAACACTATGATGTGATTGATATTTGCAAGTGGACTCGTTCACTAAATCTTCACTCCAAAAACAGACTTTGTATGTTGTACAAATCCAATATTTTCTTTTACAAAGTGTCACATAAAAAAAATATATATATATATCTATATTGCTGTCCCCTGAAAGACAAATTAGCTTATGGAGTAAAATGTGTCAGCTTTAAAAAAAATACCTACTCATATTTTTTTTTAAATCTTTTTTTTTTTTTTTTCTGGTAAACCCTATATATTAGTTTTCTGTTGTGTCGTTAATTTAATGTCTGTTAATATCATGATGTGTATTTTTTTGTGATATATTTTCTTGTGTTCTTTACCAATAACTGCTGTTATTGTTGTGAGACAAATTTGGAGGAAACATTTTAAGACATAGATGTGCACACCATCCTGTGTTGTGAAGGACTTGATGCCAGCAACAATGAAATTGGAATCACAAAAACATTTAATAAAATTGGTTTTGGGAGCTCCAATTTCAGTCGATTTCAATACATTCAGCAACACAAAACCAGTTTTTTCTTCATCTATCTGGATGAGCTTCTAGAATTAATGCAATGCAGTCATTTCTGGTTTGGTGTCATCATAATTTCACATTTTTTTTGTTATTTATTTAATAGTCTGGTTTTTGTTTTCCCTGCTGTCTGTCTGTCTGTCTGTCTTTAAGCCCTCTTACTACTTTAGATCAAGAATTGCTTGGTAATTGTTAGGCAGCAAATCTCAACATAATTAATTTTCTTGAAAAGATGAGAATAAGGATTTGTTCCTTCATATTAGCAAAGAGTAACCTGTATTATCTCATTCAGAAAGCTCTGAGGTTAAGACAAGACTTCTTAGTTCTTAGTTCTAATCTGATTAGCTTATGATTGGCTCGTTTTTGGACACTGCCAGTCTTTCTCATTTTTTTGCAAACCAGTGGAAAAGAAACACTGTGTCTCAGTTGATATATTTCCATGTTTCACCTGCTTTCTTGAGCGCATTAGTGACTTTACACACACAAAAAAAAAGAAGGTTTGCAGCATCTCTTGAATAAACTCCCTGGAGCGTGAATAGCTTAGTATAATCACCACTGATTGTCAGTTACTTGATTATGTAAAGAAACAACCATAACAATGCTGCTACAATGCCATACATTGAAAGTACATGTGTTGTGGTATTACTTGGTGCTTATGCATGTTAAGCTATTGTCTCCATTGTAGTTTTACTGTAGATGTATGTTCAAAGGCTCATCATGTCTGCAAAATGCTGTAACCAGTGCGGCAATCATGGTCGAACATTGCATTTCACTTCCCCCGCGCCCCAAGCTTTAAAACCTACTATTCCTGACATAAAAAGCTAAATTGTGAAATTGTTCTCACTGAATAAAGCAATGAAAAGGTAAAGATGATCCATTTACACAAAAGTATCAACACTGAGACACAGTAAAACATAAAACAAGCAGATTAATTGGCCACAAATATGCATCCCACATTTATTAAGTATTCAGTATTGGACTATCCAAATAAACTGTTACAAAATTATTATTATTATTTTTCTTGTTATTATTATTAAGTGCCTGTTATTGATCCCTTTAATATGGTTAGAGCTGAAAAACGTACATTTTACAAAAAAAGAAAAAAAAAGAATAATTTAGTTTCATTATTAGGACCATAAATGTAGGTCAAATATATTGGTTTCTACTTCTCCAGAAGACTACACCTTAGAAGGAGGCTTGTGCATGAAGGGGGAATTGATCACAAGACCAAGCCAACAGATATCTCAAAGGGATGGTTCATATTTTTGTCCCCTGTTGTACAATGTATGTGTAAATAGGATCTCTATCACAGTAACGACACTGTGTTACAGTAACACTATGATAAATTATCAATACTAAAAGGAAATACAAAGATTATTTCAAAAAATTAGCACAAAATAGAGGGCAGCCATGTCTTATATACCTGATTAGACTCATGACCATCTATGACTGTTTTATATGATAAACAAACTGTATACTGCAATTTAGTTTAAGCCACTTGCAAGGTCCATAAGACAAGCACATTTACTTGTATGGCATTTTGCTACCACAGTGTTGCTTATTGTACATGTATCCATGATTATGTCTGAGCATTTTTTTACACCTAATAACTTGCCTATGTAATTATTTTGCCTTTATGTTGGGATTATTATATCAGCTAATTTTAAATGAATGTTTCATATAATAATCTATTTCTCATTAAAATGTTATATTTAATAAGAAGTGAAAGGCTTGTTTGTACAGTTTCCTTTTGTAGAATCTACTGGTGTTTAGTACATAAAGAATTATACTTTTAAGACATTTTTTTTTAAATCACCTTTTATTAATGTGGTGGGAAGATCAGTAAGAGCAAAATCCATTCCCTGACCATAACCTTTTCTTCTGTTGAATAATTAACATGCTTTTACTTGTATATTTAGTCCCTGGCCAACCAGTTATCTATAATTATTTTCTTTTTCATCAATATAGCATTGTTTATGTTTAACAAGTCAGTTGGAGTTCTGCCTTTTTTTCAATAATGAAACTGCATCTTCAGAGAGCCATTGGTTATGTTAAAAAAAAAAAAAAAAGTCTCCTAAATCTGCAAAAGGTTAGATTTTCTTCTCCATAACTCACACAGCTGTCATTGGCGCTAATAGCATCTAGAATTATGGTTAAAATTTTGAGACCGCAGTCTGAGTGACTTTATCACTCAGACTGCACTGCATTACCCTATGTCAAGACAAGTTATGACCATCCCATAACCAATGTGTGAACAAGAAATAAGTCTGAAATTTGAAACAAAGTACCTTCTCTTTAATTTACAATTTTAAGTATTTCCTTAGAAATGCTTTAACTTTACACATGTTGCAATGTGTTTTAATGGGTTATTAAAACAGATTTAGTTGTATCATCTTCGGGTTAAGATTGCAGATGATAAACTGACAAAAATGCATTTAAGTAGACATACATCAGAGCACAAGGTGGTGTCATTTTCTTGCACTGTTGCATTGATGCTTAAAGAGCTTCTGATTTTTTTGTGTAATATGTGCATGCTCTCCCAAGATGTTTTAGAGTTTTTTGTGAAAACAACTTCATTTATTGTTACAATAAACAATTTTAGATGTATCCTTAGATATTTGGTACTATAGCATTGGCAGAAGATCGTTTTGGCCATGTGGACTGTGGGCGGAGGTCTCTGCAGAGAAAGCCTCGCTCTCACAGATGCCACAAAATCCCATCTCACTGGTATGCAAGTTTTATTTAGGCTCCAATTAATGCAATCCAGTAAAGATGTACTGTTATAAGTGTGGGGTGTAACAGGCCTTTAGAGATATTTAGGTAGTAGTAAATAGGAAATTAACTTTCATGTAAATGCCATAAAGCAGATATTCATAACAGTGCGGCTTTGCCATAATATCAGCAATGTTATTCAAATCCAGGCTAATGTTTACAATTAGATGGATGATTTGTTTGTTTTTTGAGTGTGAATTTGTGAAAATAAGAATAATGGTGCATGCCTTGTCTTTCAATTGCAATGGCATTGCAAAGAGGAATACAAAATGGAGATCTTAAATTTCAGGAGCTGTGTTTACAAATTTAAAATGGTACCTGACATTGGAGATGAAATATATTTTTGAATAGCCTCCAGGCCTAAAATATATATATATATATATATATATATATATATATATATATATATATATATATATATATATATATATATAATATAATATAATATATATAAATAATAAGTTGATGAATAAAATAAATTAACTGAAAAATGAACAAGCAAGTGAAGTAACAATGAAATATCAATTAAACTTCTGCCCACTGGAAGAGCCCAGAGGAGAGAGAACATTCTTAGTTCCCTTGCAATCAAAAGTATTTTTCACAAAAAAAAAAAAAAAAAAAAAAAACATTCTGGAGTGGTCAACATGAAATTCAAATGTTTCTCAATACATTGAATCACTTCTCCCTTTAGTGGTGAAGGGGAGCTCAATAATCTGACTGAGTGATAATATGATTGCGTAATCAATAACAAGTCTAATTTCTCATTAAAATGTTTCACAAAATTTTGAGGTGACATTTCAATGGCATGAAGTCTTGAAGCAGAATTTTCAGCCATCAGTTCCTGGCCAAAAGATAAGATGCACTTCAGTTATGCCAGCAAATGCATCTGATCTGCTCAAGTTCAATAATTTGAAGACTTGGGGGTGACATTGTCAAAATCTTTATGTATACTGTGTGAAATGTGCCTTAAATAGGTCTTCACTGGTTTAAACCATTTCTGCAAAAAACTGCACAATAATTCATCTAAACTAGTGCAAAATTTATGTATTGTTCATTTAGACTTCATGGGCAATTTTTTGACAATTTTTGCAAAGATTTGATTGCAATCACTTTTGCAAAGGGTGGCACGACTGGTGATGAGTTCAACATAGCCCTGGGTTGACTTAGTTAGTTTTTAACACAGTGTCGGGTTGACTTAAATTTCAGGAGTAATTAAACTAACATTACTTTATGGTCAGCAAACCTTAATAAACTTATTGGTTTCAGCTCTTCTCTCAGTTTTCTGGGGAACAATCTAATAAATACTTGTATCTATTGGCTGAATGTGTCAGAGTTTGAACTTAGAGGGACTGGATAGTTGAATTTCATCAGTTATTTACTAAGAATTTTGATGAAGATAGGGGTAAGGTTGCCTCACTTTATTCTGTGCAGCAGGAAGAGAGAAAAAAAAAACATATATTTATATAAAAAGGGAGTTTGTAACCAAAGTTGTGTCTTATTTTGTTGATTACATTCAAGAAAATGTTTCTCAATTTTTCCAATGCTTTCACTTTCACAGTTCAGTTTATGATTTTAATAAACTGAACTGACCTAAAGTAGGGCAAAAGAAATCTGATTTAATGTTAATGACAAAATGCATATTTTCATACATTATATGCAAACATCTAGTTTCAAATGTAGACTAGAGAATCTATCCGATGGAAGCCCGTGAGTCAAATAGTTATTGTGAAATCAACCCAAAAATAGTCTGAATATGAACAGATCAGTAGTTTTTGCACACAGTCATAGAAACCTTGTCAAAGCCTCAAAACTCTAGAAGAATGGTTGAGGAGATAGTGCCAGGATTTGCAAATTGGGAAATGTCATAAGGGTTATTTTCTCCCTCTCTCAGAGCAACAGGCCAGTCTTATTCACAGACGACTCGTAAAAAAGAAAAGATACATCCAGCAGAGGGAAAACATGGGACTATTTTACATAATACAGTCCTTAGCAAAATGCGTCAAAGGTGTGGAGATAATTCTAAGCTTTTCTAAACCATAAAGGGATTATTATATGGAATAAAAAAAATAATAGAGATTAGTTTTAAGGGCTGAACTTGTGCCTAAAGAAAGAATTTAAGATGGACTATTTCAGTCTTCTATTTTCTCTTTTCTCTGCGCAGTCCAGTAGTTTTGATTCGCAATTTTTTTCCTTCGTTTTTATCCATCCAGAAGACTTCTTTCACATCTATTGTTTACATATTCATGGAGCAGTCAAAACAGCCGTCTTTCTTTAAAAGCAAAAATCACAAGTTCTTCACCAAAAAAAAAAGGGAAACTGTAATGTGTCACCTGCAAAAAGTGATTCACTGTTGAGAAATGAAAACTTATTTTCAATTCCTCCATAGAAATTTAAGAACTAAAGTGATTCAGTACTTCACCAAAAATATATTTTTGTACAATGCACTGCAAGCTACGTCTATAAAGTGTACTTCAGTTGATATCACTTGGCAAATATGCTGGGAAGTCTTTTGTAGGACTGTAGGAGTAACAGAATTAGCAGAATGCAAAGACTCAAGCCCTGAATGGCTTTATGATGGTCATTAAGCAGTTTTCACACTAATCCCCTACTTTTCGATAAGACATGGTCTTAGCAAGTTTCGAATGCAAACTTTTCCTGACTACTAAAATGAGTACACAGCAATGTCTAATCTGAATCAACACAGCCCGCTACCTCTCTTCCCACATCAGCTCCAGCAAGAGTCTTAGATGCCAGTTAATTACCAAACAGCAGTTGACACAAAAAAAAAAAAAAACAGACTGGTGCCTAAGGAAAACTGCAAGAAGACAGCACTCATAAAGTGCTGTCCTTGCATCAGCACAGTGTGTCAGATGTGATTAAAATTCTACAAAATCTTACATCACTCAGTGAAAGTTAGGAAGCGCTGTGTGTTGGGTGAGTCCAGGTGGAGCAGAATCATAAATAAATCGATCGCATTTAGAGGACAATGATATGCCTGCAGTAATCAAAATAATTTGTACAGTAGTCAATATTTTTCTCATTTATTTAAGTTTTTGCTTTTGACAAGGTATGCTTCAGCTTTGTTTTTCTGTTTTTATAATTGTTGAGTATAACTGTATATCCTGGTGATAGAACTTGCTGGGGGTTTTTTTTTGTTGTTGTTTTTATATAAAGCTGGCATGTTTCTTTTTTTTCAGGCTCATGTGGATTTTTCATGTTTCCTGTTTTTACCAGCACAGCTTACAGGTATGGATTCTACTGTAAAGTCAAGAAAATATATAAATATGACAAACTAATTCCATCACATTCACAAAACCCCAAAGTCTCCACTTCAAGAAAAACAAACAAAAAAAACCTGAATGAATGACTGAAAGTGTAATAACGGATAAGTGGGGAACAAGGCAGTCTAAGTTAAATTAATGTCAAATAAATAAAGGCTATTAACAGAGAACAGGTGAGCCTAAGTTTGTGCTTTCCTCTGGGCAGAAAAACAGCTGACAGGAATAAACACACTTGTTAGTGTACACTCTCGCCTTGCAAGGAATTAGACACAACCTGGCAGGTAGCTCTCCTGATAATTGAAGACACTACACCGTAAACACCTTAAGGCTGTTGTTATTCTTGAATCTTGTTAACAGCTGTGGATGACAGAAATGTATGAGTGCTGACGTTAAGGGTATTCTGCAGAGTGAATATTGTGACAAGTCACACACACAAAAAATAAGAGAATAAAGTATTTCAGCGGCAAAATGCTGTCAGAGAACTCAGAGTCGGAGGAAAATGACTTGAAACACCTTGATGCAGTTTCGTACACAACGAACAAGAGTTTTTTGAAATCATGAAGTGCTTTTGTTCAGCTGGAGTTATTTATGGTGGCCTTCAGGTGGAAAAATGGATCAGAAATTTACAAGGAGAAGATGAAATGATATATCAAAGTAGATCTTCAGAAT